TGTTAGGCAAGCCAACCATTTGAACAAGAATAAATTAAACGCAATAAGATATAATCGGCTTGTTAGGCAAGCCAACCATTTGAACAAGAATATGTAATTGAGCTAATTCGCGAAGTATATATATATTAGTTTTTAACTAATATAATTTTAATAGAATTATTAAATATATTACACTGAAAATTTGAAAACTCTTACAGCAGCCATTTTTAAATAGATCTGGCAGCGAGGCAGCCGGCGACATATGGCAACCCTCCTCCTATGTTATACTCAAATTCTATGTCAGTTGAAATGTAACCAATCACAGGCAAGTAGACCTCTGACGTCATGCCAGACAGAGGAGCATCAAGCCATGTGCTCCCAGCAGCCTCAGTTCTCTCTCAGACCCAGAGTAAGGTGGACCTCGGCTGGCCAGATATATACCTTGTTGTCTCCGTCAATAAATATATACAGAAGCGACTACTGTGTCTACTTTCAACCCGAACAAGGCAAACGAATACCTATTCCCACTCCGGGAATGGGAATGGGATTTCAGGCTGGAATGTCGGGGGGGGGGGAGAAAGGGTTAGCGGGAATGTGCAGCTGTTAGAGTAATTATTTCCACTGTTAAGAAAGATCAGTAGTTAAGGAAACTCTTTGAGAATTCCAAAATTTTAAGTGTCACTTAGATGGGGACTTTTGTAAGTTGTGAAGGATTAAATGTTATATATTATTATTTTGTTATAGTTATTTTGCTATTTTGTTATAGTTTGAAGCGTAGTTAGAAGGTGATGCAGATGCTCATTGTTGCCATAGTTAATACGATCTGATGCAAGTTCTCAAATGCCCAGCAAATAGAAAGGAGTTTGAAAGAACTCTGACAAATTTGGAAATTGTACATTCACTACAAATATCTACGACTTAAACCATCTACCACTTAAAACATCTACCACTTAAACCATCTACCACTTAAAAAATCTACCACTTGAAACATCTACCACTTAAACATCTACCACTTAAACCATCTACCACTTAAAACAACTACCACTTAAACCATCTGCCACTTAAACCATCTACCACTTAAACCATCAACCACTTAAACCATCAACCACTTGAACCATCTACCACTTAAAACACCTACCACTTAAACCATCTACCACTTAAACCATCTACCACTTAAAACATCTATTACTTTAACCATCTACCACTTGAACCATCTACCACTTAAAACACCTACCACTTAAACCATCAACCACTTGAACCATCTACCACTTAAAACACCTACCACTTAAACCATCTACCACTTAAACCATCTACCACTTAAAACACCTACCACTTAAACCATCTACCACTTAAACCATCTACCACTTAAAACATCTATTACTTTAACCATCTACCACTTAAAACATCTACCACTTAAACCATCTACCACTTAAAACATCTACCACTTAAACCATCTACCACTTAAAACATCTACCACTTAAACCATCTACCACTTAAAACATCTACCACTTAAAACTCCCCTACCCCTCTTCACCACCCTCCCCTACACCTTCCCCTAATAAAGGGAAGCACAACACCTGGCCCCCATGAAGGGACGGAGGGAACCCTTGGAATGTTCCGGAGGGCAGCTGATGTCCTCTGGAATCCCTGGGAATGGAATGCCGATTCCAAACGGGAATTGGGGACAGGTGGCCGGCAGGTGAAGGTCTCTCCCCTACCTCCCCCCCTCCCCTGCCCCCGTCACCCCCTTCCGTACCTCCTCCCCTGCCCCCGTCACCCCTCCCCCCCTCCCCACCCCCCCAGGCGGTCCCCTTACCCACGGGGTCTGGTAGGAAGTCTTAATGTGTCTCATTAATGAAACATTATCGCCGCATGTTGTTGAATGGTGGTAGTGATGGTGGTAGTGTGTTGTTGAATGGTGGTAGTTGTGTGTTGTTGAATGGTGGTAGTGATGGTGGTAGTGTGTTGATGAATGGTGGTAGTGATGGTGGTAGTGTGTTGATGAATGGTGGTAGTGATGGTGGTAGTTGTGTGTTGTTGAATGGTGGTGGTAATGGTGGTAGTGTGTTGATGAATGGTGGTGGTGATGGTGGTAGTTGTGTGTTGTTGAATGGTGGTGGTAATGGTGGTAGTGTGTTGATGAATGGTGGTGGTGATGGTGGTAGTAGTGTGTTGTTGAATGGTGGTAGTGATGGTGGTAGTTGTGTGTTGTTGAATGGTGGTAGTGATGGTGGTAGTTGTGTGTTGTTGAATGGTGGTAGTGATGGTGGTAGTAGTGTGTTGTTGAATGGTGGTAGTGATGGTGGTAGTGTGTTGATGAATGGTGGTAGTGATGGTGGTAGTAGTGTGTTGTTGAATGGTGGTGGTAATGGTGGTAGTGTGTTGATGAATGGTGGTAGTGATGGTGGTAGTAGTGTGTTGTTGAATGGTGGTAGTGATGGTGGTAGTTGTGTGTTGTTGAATGGTAGTAGTGATGGTGGTAGTTGTGTGTTGTTGAATGGTGGTGGTAATGGTGGTAGTGTGTTGATGAATGGTGGTAGTGATGGTGGTAGTAGTGTGTTGATGAATGGTGGTGGTGATGGTGGTAGTGTGTTGATGAATGGTGGTAGTGATGGTGGTAGTGTGTTGATGAATGGTGGTGGTGATGGTGGTAGTGTGTTGATGAATGGTGGTGGTGATGGTGGTAGTGTGTTGATGAATGGTGGTAGTGATGGTGGTAGTGTGTTGATGAATGGTGGTAGTGATGGTGGTAGTTGTGTGTTGTTGAATGGTGGTAGTGATGGTGGTAGTGTGTTGATGAATGGTGGTAGTGATGGTGGTAGTAGTGTGTTGATGAATGGTGGTGGTGATGGTGGTAGTAGTGTGTTGATGAATGGTGGTGGTGATGGTGGTAGTGTGTTGATGAATGGTGGTGGTGATGGTGGTAGTGTGTTGATGAATGGTGGTAGTGATGGTGGTAGTTGTGTGTTGTTGAATGGTGGTGGTAATGGTGGTAGTGTGTTGATGAATGGTGGTGGTGATGGTGGTAGTTGTGTGTTGATGAATGGTGGTAGTGATGGTGGTAGTGTGTTGATGAATGGTGGTAGTGATGGTGGTAGTTGTGTGTTGTTGAATGGTGGTGGTAATGGTGGTAGTGTGTCCCCCCATGACCCCCTCCCCCCCCAGGGCCTTCCCCATGACCCCTGGGGGCTCTCCTCCCCCCCCCTCCCCCCAGACAATATTATCAAGGGCCGGCACACACACAGGAGCAGGCGGTGCGGTGTGCCAACAACAACAGGATGCTTGCTCCTACCCTCCACCCATTGTTGACCTGCTCTCTCTTATATCCCCCATTGTTGAGTAACCTCCCTTTAACCCCTACCCCCCCCCCCTATTGTCCACCCATATTTCCGGTATGTGCTTTTCACGCCCCCCCCCCCCCACCTGCTAGATGCGGTGGCTGAGTGGACAGAACACTGGACGCGTGATCCTGTGGTCCCGGGTTCGATCCCGGACGCCGGCGAGAAACGATGTCCAGAGTTTCTTTCACTCTATGCCCCTGTTACCTAGCAGTAAAATAGGTACCTGGTAGTTAGTCAGCTGTCACGGGCTGCTTCCTGGGGGGGGGGGGGTGGAGGCCTAGTCGAGGACCGGGCCGCGGGGACACTAAAAAGCCCCGAAATCACCTCAAGATAACCTCAAGATGCAACAAGTTGGCCGGTCCTGCAACCGTGGCTCCCTGCACAGAATATATACGCAATAGCTTGCTAATTCAACAAACTTACATAGCGAGGAGGGAACTCAAGGGTTTAAACTATCTGTAAATATGTTGTAAATGTTGCCATGGGATGTTCGTGGAGCGCGCGCGTGCGTGCGCGTGCCGTGGGAACATCCCGCACGTGCAGCAGCTGGTGGCCAGGGAGGGGTGGACTGTCATCTTGAACACGCACGTGGTGGCGCGCGTGCGTGTTGACACTCTAAACACAGCAGGCACGTGTTCGTGGCCTCGTCAAGCAACCGCTTTTACGAAGCCTGTGCATCTTGCCCTGATCATGGGAGCTTTGTTTACATGTTGTTGTTGTTAAAGATTTGCTACCTGGAATGTAAAATTCCAAGTAGCACGGGCTATGGTGAGCCCGTAGTGCCTTTTTGTTTACATTTATTAAGCACTTCATACAAGCTTGGGGGGAAAAATTTCACAACCCAAAGGTTGTTATTGCTATTAACAACCTCGTTTGGGGTTCACAGCTCATAAGCTGTTTGGTGTATGTAAACACAGCCGCCATGATTTGGGAAAAGATGTACAGGTTTCGTATAGCTGACAACAATATACATCCGGCACAAGCTGTCACAACCCACTGGTTGTGACAGGAAGGTTTTGACACCAGTTGACACGTGACAGAAAGTGTCAGGTGTCATAAGAGTGGCAGAAATGGCATGACTAATGGGAATAATAAGGCATTAATGGCAGCCATTTAATGTAACAATTCCAAAACTTCATTCAGTTGAACACACCTTCTTAATGTATAACAAGAACAGCAGAACATTAACACAGGAACAACCACAGGAACAATAACATAAAAACACACTACAATAACAGAACAACAAACAAATTAAACCTTGCACCTGAAACAAACAAAATGCAAACAAATTATTTTATTAGTGAAATCTTGTTTTACAATATTATAATTATTTTGTGAAATTGTAAACTGAGTAAATAAAATGTTAATTAACAATTTAAAACAGCAAAAATAACTTTAATAATTATTTTCAGTCAAAAAAATGGTCGTGAATGTATTCACACACACACACACACACACACACACACACACACACACACACACACACACACACACACACACACACACACACACACACACACACACACTAAATTAATGGAGTAACCCCTTAAAAATTAAGGCTGAAATAAGACGATATATAAGATCTAACATTCACATCTGGGGAAGACCCACCAAGAGACCCACAACAAACCTCATATTGATAATTTTCCTTCTGGGTCTCATACTTACATTTATCTATTCATGGAACTCCCAGAGAACGTGGGACTCCCAGAGAACGGGGACTCCCAGAGAACGTGGGACTCCCAGAGTACGTGGGACTCCCAGAGAACGTGGGACTCCCAGAGAACGTGGGACTCCCAGAGAACGTGGGACTCCCAGAGAACGTGGGACTCCCAGAGAACGTGGGACTCCCAGAGAACATGGGACTCCCAGAGCACATGGGACTCCCAGAGCACATGGGACTCCCAGAGAACGTGGGACTCCCAGAGAACGGGGACTCCCAGAGAACGTGGGACTCCCAGAGAACGTGGGACTCCCAGAGAACGTGGGACTCCCAGAGAACATGGGACTCCCAGAGCACATGGGACTCCCAGAGCACATGGGACTCCCAGAGAACGTGGGACTCCCAGAGAACGGGGACTCCCAGAGAACGTGGGACTCCCAGAGAACGTGGGACTCCCAGAGAACGTGGGACTCCCAGAGAACGTGGGACTCCCAGAGAACGGGGACTCCCAGAGAACGTGGGACTCCCAGAGAACGTGGGACTCCCAGAGTACATGGGACTCCCAGAGTACATGGGACTCCCAGAGCACATGGGACTCCCAGAGCACATGGGACTCCCAGAGCACATGGAACTCCCAGAGCACATGGGACTCCCAGAGAACGTGGGACTCCCAGGGCACATGGGACTCCCAGGGGCACGTGGTACGCAGGTGACAGTAACCGAACTGACCGCCAACATTCCATTCCCATTCCCAGGACTGCAGACATTCCCGTATTCCCACGGCTCCTAACATTCCTATCCGCCAGCTGTCCACCTCCAGACGCCTGTTGGAGTTGCCACATTATCTCTTAACCAAATTCTTTGGTGGAATTACTGTTAAGCTTACACATTAGATTTGTTCACTTGTGTAGTTTGAAATATAGACACAGTAGTGTACGTGTTGATACGTAAATGAGTATGGGAATAGTGTAGGGTTAATTATGGTTGATTATGGCGCGTGTTGATGGTTGCCACGTGTTAGGGGGGGGGCATGGGATGGGGGGATGGGATAGTTGTGGTCTGGAAGAGGGGATGGGAGGGGGGAGTAGGGGAAGGGAAAGGGGGAGGAATGGATGGGTAGAGGGCTTGGGAGCCCCCTTGACTTCATTACACATTTTTAGATACTTATTTTAAAGGGGGGAAGTAGAGGTAGAGAAGGGAGAGGTAGAGAGAGAGGAGAAGTAGAGGACCCATCCTGCTCTTGATATATGTGTCAGCGTCTTCGTAGAGGAAATTGACTCCTTTGTATAATTGTTTACTAATGAACAGGAATGAGAAGGATCAGAGGAGGAGTGTGCTGTTCCTACTAACTTAACTACACCCACTCAGAGGTGGTCTCAGTCTATTGATTTTCAGAAAGGCGGGGTCCAAGAGCTAACAGCTCGATCATGCAGACACAAATAGTAAGCAAAACACACACACACACACACACACACACACACATGTTATATGATAAAGAGTGCTGGGAAGACGGGACACCACGAGCGTAGCTCTCATCCTGTAACTACACTTAGGTAATTACACACAATCGACTTGAGAATGGTCCAGGACGGACCGAAACGTCGTCGTCCCTTCACCTTCTAGTGTGTGGTCTGGTCAACACACATACACACACACACACACACACACACACACACACACACACACACACACACACACACACACACACACACACACACACACACACACACACACACACACACGAGGGTATGAACCTCCCTTTCTCTTCCCCTCACCCTCCTCTCTCTCCTACCCCAACAGGAAGCCAGTATGGGGCATGGTGCACAGCCGTGCCCCACACCCCGGGCACAGGTGATGTATTGTGCCCTCCACAACCTGTCCACCACCACCACATTCCGCCCACCACGTGTTCCCACGCTCGCTCGCGGAACCGCTTGAGGCTCTTCAACTCACCAAACTACCCTCAATTCCGCACCGCGTTTGGCATTTGTTTTCGACTTATTTCCGATACGGTATGCTTTTAAAAAGATATACCCCCCCCCTAGAACATATGGTTTAAGGGATTAGATTTTAGGGTTAAAAGATAATTGCAGGTTGAGAAAGTTGGGGTGGGGAGCACGCGCGTCCGTGCGCGCGTGCAGCTGTTGCTGGTCTCTGGAATGTTGATTACAACCCCGATATATTGCACAGCTTCCCCCCCCCCCATCCCACAGCTAAGAGGCGGGGCCCAGGAGCTCATCTACGACAAATACAACTAACTGAATTTCATCTTCCTTGAAAAAAATTCCCAGAAGAACTGAATGTTAGAGGGTAATAGACTTGATGCATTATACAGCTTGCGAGTGTATTTATGTGGTGGGAATATTCCCAGGAGCTGGGAACAGCTGCTCCTCCCCCCCCCCCCTCGCCTGTGGCCACATCTGGCCAACTGCTGTGATTCCTGTGGGGAGTCGGAGCTCAGTAGACCCGAAACTGGTGATGATTTTAATGTTCCAGTGTCATGATGAGGTCAGCTGGCGGCCACACCCGCTTGGATGAGACACATCACCCGTGGCCACACCTGATGTGATGAGACACCACACCCGTGGCCACACCTGATGTGATGAGACACCACACCCGTGGCCACACCTGATGTGATGAGACACATCACCCGTGGACACACCTGATGTGATGAGACACCACACCCTGGCCACACCTGATGTGATGAGACACTACACCCGTGGCCACACCTGACGTGATGAGACACTACACCCGTGGCCACACCTGATGTGATGAGACACCACACCCGTGGCCACACCTGATGTGATGAGACACCACACCCTGGCCACACCTGACGTGATGAGACACTACACCCGTGGCCACACCTGACGTGATGAGACACTACACCCGTGGCCACACCTGATGTGATGAGACACTACACCCGTGGCCACACCTGACGTGATGAGACACTACACCCGTGGCCACACCTGACGTGATGAGACACTACACCCGTGGCCACACCTGATGTGATGAGACACTACACCCGTGGCCACACCTGACGTGATGAGACACTACACCCGTGGCCACACCTGACGTGATGAGACACTACACCCGTGGCCACACCTGATGTGATGAGACACTATACCCGTGGCCACACCTGACGTGATGAGACACTACACCCGTGGCCACACCTGATGTGATGAGACACCACACCCGTGGCCACACCTGATGTGATGAGACACTACACCCTGGCCACACCTGACGTGATGAGACACCACACCCGTGGCCACACCTGACGTGATGAGACACTACACCCGTGGCCACACCTGACGTGATGAGACACATCACCCGTGGCCACACCTGACGTGATGAGACACATCACCCGTGGCCACACCTGACGTGATGAGACACTACACCCGTGGCCACACCTGATGTGATGAGACACTACACCCTGGCCACACCTGATGTGATGAGACACATCACCCGTGGCCACACCTGACGTGATGAGACACATCACCCGTGGCCACACCTGACGTGATGAGACACATCACCCGTGGCCACACCTGACGTGATGAGACACTACACCCGTGGCCACACCTGATGTGATGAGACACTACACCCTGGCCACACCTGATGTGATGAGACACTACACCCGTGGCCACACCTGATGTGATGAGACACTACACCCTGGCCACACCTGACGTGATGAGACACATCACCCGTGGGCCACACCTGACGTGATGAGACACTATACCCGTCCCACACCTGATGTGATGAGACACTACACCCGTCCCACACCTGACGTGATGAGACACTACACCCGTGGCCACACCTGACGTGATGAGACACATCACCCGTGGGCCACACCTGACGTGATGAGACACTACAGCCGTGGGCCACACCTGACGTGATGAGACACTACACCCGTGGCCACACCTGACGTGATGAGACACTATACCCGTCCCACACCTGATGTGATGAGACATACACCCGTCCCACACCTGACGTGATGAGACATACACCCGTGGGCCACACCTGACGTGATGAGACACTAAACCCGTCCCACACCTGACGTGATGAGACACTAAACCCGTCCCACACCTGACGTGATGAGACACCACACCCGTCCCACATCTGACGTGATGAGACACCACACCCGTGGGCCACACCTGACGTGATGAGACACCACACCCGTGGGCCACACCTGACGTGATGAGACACATGAGATGTGACACTACCACATCACCATTAGGCCTACTGGCCTAGGCGAGGCAGGATCACTGGTAGGCCTAATGGCCCATTACGAAACATGTTTTAATTTATACTCAATAATTTCCAATCACGAATTTCAATTTTTGTTTTTAAATTTGTTTAATTTTCTTTTATTCATTTATTTACGAATGTTGTGTCAAAAATATTGACGTATATTTTGTTATATCTCTCAGTTACATTTTAAATCTTTTGCACTTTTGTTCATCTCTGTATTTCGTTCATTAGTATACATGACGTGTATATCATCTGTTAGTATACATCACTTTAATATTCATTCATTAATACATACCAAGGTACACATTCTCTTTATCTCCCTTTTTGTTCTGTCATTTTATAATATATATATATATATATATATATATATATATATATATATATATATATATATATATATACATATATATATAGATATATATATAGATATATATATATATATATATATATATATATATATATATATATATATATATATATATATATATATATAACAAAGTCATACCCGAAGGAAGGCTTAAGACATAAATTTCCTTAAGTACTTTCGTATTTAATAATACATCTTTAGAATGATCAATTAAATTATTATTTTTCGTATTATTAAATACGAAAGTACTTAAGAAAATTCCTGTCTTAATCCTTCCTTCATGATCTGACACTGTCACATTGTTAATAATACAATTAATAAATATATATATATGCATATATAATTATATATGCATATAAGTTATACATTATCAATTTAATGTATATGGCATTCGGGTTGTATGCAAATTGAAACAGTTGTGTGCTGACAATGGGCTGCTTCAGCCATTCATGTCATGCCCCTTAACACGTCTATAGAATGTAAACACATAAAAAATGATATCTGGGAGCGGCCAAGCTAGGCCTCCTTTATCACATTGCCTTCGTGGGTTACTTGTTATCGTAATTAATGTGAAGCTTTATCGGGCTTCGTCATTACCTTCTCACCGGCGCCCGGAGGTCTGTCTGTTCAGGTCTGCGTGACTGGTGGATGCTATGCAAATGATGAGAGCCAATCACAATCAAGAGCGAGAGCCAATCACAATCACGGGAGGACAAAGAGAGCGAGTGAGGTGTGGGATGCGGGGTTGAGGTGGGTATAAGAGCAGGGGCCAGATTCACGAAGCAGTTACGCAAGCACTTACGAACGTGTACATCTTTCCTCAATCTTTGACGGCTTTGGTTACGTTTATTAAACAGTTTACAAGCATGAAAACTTGCCAATCAACTGTTGTTATTGTTATAAACAGCCTCCTGGTGCTTCGGAGCTCATTAACTGTTTAATAATTGTAAACAAAGCCGCCAAAGATTGAGAAAAGATGGACAGGTTCGTAAGTGCTTGCGTAACTACTTCGTGAATCTGGTCCGGTACACTTTTTTTTGTATTTCCTATCACATAAGTGGCCATACAACTATACACAGTTGACCAGTATATATATACATCTTCAGTCCCTCATAGACAGTATTAAACATATGCTTAGCGAGTTATTAAGCACTCAAGCACATAAGGTGATTGAAGTACTTTTACACAGAGTAACCAGTTGACCAAACCACACACTAGAAAGTGAAGGGACGACGACGTTTCGGTCCGTCCTGGACCATTCTCAAGTCGAGTTGAGAATGGTCCAGGACGGACCGAAACGTCGTCGTCCCTTCACCTTCTAGTGTGTGGTCTGGTCAACATATTTCAGCCACGTTATTGTGACTCCTCATCTGCATAGTAACCAGCCTTCACACAATGCATGCACTTACACTACACAAAACAGTGTTTTGCACTCAGCCATAACTCCAAAAAGTTCCCCTGAATATGAAATCTAAATCTCTCGAGGACAAGGCATTCAAACACTTTACAAATACACTATGTATAAATCTATAATTACATGGCGCCTGAACAACGACACTTTGTCCAAGCATCAGGTAGTGATCCTTCACTTAAACTCATTCTATACGAGAGTATAAGTGGAGTTACCTGATACTTGTGAGACTAATCTCAGTACAAGCTGTTTGGAATCAAGTTCTCTCTCTAGCAGCACAGGATTTGTCAGTCTTTAATGCATGATTTAATTCGCATTCAGTTGGGTCATTAAGATCTGACTCGTCAGTAGCTGTCTATACAAGAGTGATGGTTCCTTGTTTGATGAAGCGGGTCGTTACGTTGGTCCTGTATGGTAATTAGGGGCGGTGGGCCCAACAGGGGCTTGGGGGAGAAAATAACAGGGGGTTGGGGGAGAAATAACAGGGGGTTGGGGGTGAAATAACAGGGGTTTAAGTGAGTTCAATAAGGGCTGAGGTGGATTGAACAGGGGTTGAATTGGGAACAAAGCAGTTGAAGTGGGTACAACAGGGGTTGAGGTGGATAAAGCGTGCACTCTGGATAGCGTGAGTTAGCGTGCACTCTAGGTAGTATGAGTTAGCGTTAATTCTAGGTAGTATAATTTAGCGTGCACTGGGGAGCGTGAGTTAGCGTGCACTCTAGGTAGCGTGAGTTAGCGTGCACTCTGGGTAGCGTGAGTTAGCGTGCACTCTAGGTAGCGTGAGTTAGAGTGCACTCTGGCTAGCGTGAGTTAGTGTGCACTCTGGATAGCGTGTGTTAGCGTGCACTCTAGGTAGCGTGAGTTAGTGTGCACTCTGGATAGCGTGTGTTAGCGTGCACTCTAGGTAGCGTGAGTTAGCGTGCACTCTAGGTAGCGTGAGTTAGCGTGCACTCTGGGTAGCGTGAATTAGCGTGCGCAGTAGAGAGTGAATGAAGCGTGACCACCAGAGGGGCGCCCATGACTGTAAAGCTCCCATAATTAGCCGTATTCACTCGACCAAATGGACTGACGCAGTAAATGTTGTGGTAATTGAGTGCAAGAGAAGACATGATTTGTCTTTTAAGTCTTTCGTCAGAGGTCGCTTTTCAGGCTTCTGTTTTTTTTATATATTCCCTTTCCATTCGCCCCTCCCCCCCCCCATCACCCCCTTCTATGCGCCCCCCTAACCCCCCCCCATCACCCCCTTCTATGCGCCCCCCTAACCCCCCCCCCCCCCTCCAACTACCACCACCCACTAACTCTTCACTACCTCAATAAACAAATACATCCAGCAGGTGATAATACAAGATTTATAGTGTATAAAAAAATGTATGCAAATTCAGGGTGATTTTACGCCATGGAGTCGATGAATATGAAAGGGGGGGGGGGTATCTTAAGACCTTGTTGTGTCGGTCGTAAAGTTACGATCTCGGAGTTAGTACATATGGAGTGAAGAGACCGTGGTCGTAGACCTAAGGGGTAAGGGGAGAGTGTATGGTGGAGATAAAGGGGGGAATAGAAGAGATTGATTGGAGTGGGAAGAGTAGGCAGTGAAGAGATGACTATCTATTTGGTAGAGCAACGGCTTCGTATTTTACAGACCCGAGTTCAATACACCAATGACCCAAGAGGCTGCCAGTTACACAGTCATATATATAAAGTAGCCAGTACACATAAGGACATACATAGAGTGGAAGAGAGTGTCCGAGATAACAGGATATCTGTCTTACGACATGATGGTCATGTCATGCCAAGCATAAGGACATACATAAAGTGGAAGAGAGTGTCCGAGATAACAGGATATCTGCCTTACGACATGATGGTCATGTCATGACAAGGTCGTCATTCATAACTACCAACCCCTGTTCGAGCCCACACAATGCTCCTGGCTCCCAGCACCACAATGAGACGCTGCTCCTCTTCAGAAGAGCTTCACGATGCTTTAAACCTCTCTTCTCGATGCTTGGGAAGGCTCTTGTCAGCCATTATGTAGAGGCCCAGCTCCTGAAGGCGGCGGTGAAGGGTCCAAGTTCTCACACTCTGGGAGCTGTATTCAGTGGGGAAAACATTATAAAAAGGGGCTTTGAATGTTGGTGCAAAGACGTCCTTGTAATTTGAGAAGTATTGTGAATATTGGTACTAGCGGAGGCCATCCTTGGTCGTGAACTGTTTAATAACTGTAAATAAAGCCGCAATATACGAAGAAAGATGTAGTGGTTTCGTAATAGGGGGTTGGTATAAATGCTTGATTCATTAAGCATTTATTCCTCAATCATTCCTCATGAAGGTTGTTGTTGTTGTTGTTGTTCTAGATATAGCTACTCAGAACGAAATGTCCATGTAGCACGGGCTATGGCGAGCCCATACTCACCTGATGAAGGAATGTGCTGCCATTATGTCTTAGTACATGGGTGAGGTGGAGACGGGTGCACCTGAGGCCAGGTGGGGAGGATGGGTAAAGCCCCTAGGGTAAGGTGGGGAGACTTACCCATCCAGGTCTCCTCCCCTCCCTCCTGGAATGTCTATTATAATAGATAAAGAATCCTGATATTGTTGTGGGGGAAGGGGGAGATAGGGGCCCCAGAGGTAGGGGGGCCTCCCCTGAGCCCCTGAAGTAGGGGGGCCTCCCCTGAGCCCCTCAGGGCACTTCAAGAACCACTATCTGAGAAAGTATCCACGAGATATACACACTGAGAGATGTCTATACACTAGTGTATATACACTAAGAGGTGTTAAACCCAAAGCCAAGGACGTGTCCCACTTTTGGGGTTTACTGGGACTTTCAGCCTTGTTGAGGAGGGGATATTTGGGATCTATAAGGTATAAGGGATTGTGATTGTGGGGATTGTTAGTTTTCTATAGCGTGAAGTATATTAGGGTCATTGGTGCTTCTATTGGGGTCATTGGTGCTTCTATTGTGGTCATTGGTGCTTCTATTGGGGTCATTGGTGCTTCTATTGTGGTCATTGGTGCTTCTATTGTGGTCATTGGTGCTTCTATTGGGGTCATTGGTGCTTCTATTGTGGTCATTGGTGCTTCTATTGTGGTCATTGGTGCTTCTATTGGGGTCATTGGTGCTTCTATTGTGGTCATTGGTGCTTCTATTGTGGTCATTGGTGCTTCTATTGGGGTCATTGGTGCTTCTATTGGGGTCATTGGTGCTTCTATTGGGGTCATTGGTGCTTCTATTGTGGTCATTGGTGCTTCTATTGTGGTCATTGGTGCTTCTATTGTGGTCATTGGGGCTTCTATTGTGGTCATTGGTGCTTCTATTGTGGTCATTGGTGCTTCTATTGTGGTCATTGGTGCTTCTATTGTGGTCATTGGTGCTTCTATTGTGGTCATTGGTGCTTCTATTGTGGTCATTGGTGCTTCTATTGTGGTCATTGGTGCTTCTATTGGGGTCATTGGTGCTTCTATTGGGGTCATTGGTGCTTCTATTGCGGTCATTGGTGCTTCTATTGTGGTCATTGGTGCTTCTATTGCGGTCATTGGTGCTTCTATTGCGGTCATTGGTGCTTCTATTGTGGTCATTGGTGCTTCTATTGCGGTCATTGGTGCTTCTATTGTGGTCATTGGTGCTTCTATTGCGGTCATTGGTGCTTCTATTGTGGTCATTGGTGCTTCTATTGCGGTCATTGGTGCTTCTATTGTGGTCATTGGTGCTTCTATTGCGGTCATTGGTGCTTCTATTGTGGTCATTGGTGCTTCTATTGTGGTCATTGGTGCTTCTATTGTGCTCATTGGTGCTTCTATTGTGCTCATTGGTGCTTCTATTGTGGCCATTGGTGCTTCTATTTGTGGTCATTGGTGCTTCTATTGTGCTCATTGGTGCTTCTATTGTGGTCATTGGTGCTTCTATTGTGGTCATTGGTGCTTCTATTATGCTCATTGGTGCTTCTATTGGGGTCATTGGTGCTTCTATTGGGGTCATTGGTGCTTCTATTGGGGTCATTGGTGCTTCTATTGGGGTCATTGGTGCTTCTATTGTGGTCATTGGTGCTTCTATTGTGGTCATTGGTGCTTCTATTGTGGTCATTGGTGCTTCTATTGTGGTCATTGGTGCTTCTATTGTGGTCATTGGTGCTTCTATTGTGGTCATTGGTGCTTCTATTGGGGTCATTGGTGCTTCTATTGGGGTCATTGGTGCTTCTATTGGGGTCATTGGTGCTTCTATTGGGGTCATTGGTGCTTCTATTGTGGTCATTGGTGCTTCTATTGTGGTCATTGGTGCTTCTATTGCGGTCATTGGTGCTTCTATTGTGGTCATTGGTGCTTCTATTGTGGTCATTGGTGCTTCTATTGGGGTCATTGGTGCTTCTATTGTGGTCATTGGTGCTTCTATTGCGGTCATTGGTGCTTCTATTGCGGTCATTGGTGCTTCTATTGTGGTCATTGGTGCTTCTATTGCGGTCATTGGTGCTTCTATTGTGGTCATTGGTGCTTCTATTGCGGTCATTGGTGCTTCTATTGTGGTCATTGGTGCTTCTATTGTGGTCATTGGTGCTTCTATTGTGCTCATTGGTGCTTCTATTGTGCTCATTGGTGCTTCTATTGTGGCCATTGGTGCTTCTATTTGTGGTCATTGGTGCTTCTATTGTGCTCATTGGTGCTTCTATTGTGGTCATTGGTGCTTCTATTGTGGTCATTGGTGCTTCTATTATGCTCATTGGTGCTTCTATTGGGGTCATTGGTGCTTCTATTGGGGTCATTGGTGCTTCTATTGGGGTCATTGGTGCTTCTATTGGGGTCATTGGTGCTTCTATTGTGGTCATTGGTGCTTCTATTGTGGCCATTGGTGCTTCTATTGTGGCCATTGGTGCTTCTATTGTGGTCATTGGTGCTTCTATTGTGCTCATTGGTGCTTCTATTGTGCTCATTGGTGCTTCTATTGTGGCCATTGGTGCTTCTATTTGTGGTCATTGGTGCTTCTATTGTGCTCATTGGTGCTTCTATTGTGGTCATTGGTGCTTCTATTGTGGTCATTGGTGCTTCTATTATGCTCATTGGTGCTTCTATTGGGGTCATTGGTGCTTCTATTGGGGTCATTGGTGCTTCTATTGGGGTCATTGGTGCTTCTATTGGGGTCATTGGTGCTTCTATTGTGGTCATTGGTGCTTCTATTGTGGCCATTGGTGCTTCTATTGTGGCCATTGGTGCTTCTATTGTGGTCATTGGTGCTTCTATTGTGCTCATTGGTGCTTCTATTGTGGTCATTGGTGCTTATCTACCAAAAAAAAGTAGTGTCGGACTCTCTATCTACTCTAAAAAAAAAGGGTTGAACTCTATCTACTCTCAATAATGAAAGATTGGACTCTGTGTTCTCTCAAAAACTGTGAATACTTCATATGTTATTTTAAGCTAAATAAACACACAATCCTTTTGTTGTAGAGATTGGGCTAATCCCTGTTAAGCTGTGATTGTCCCGTATTATTGCTCATAGAACACAGATTGGGAAAAAAACATTGTGAAACACAAATTAGAACACAATATAATGAAACACAAATTGGAATATAGACTTAAACGGAATTTTATGCAACACAGTGAAAAAGAAATTGGAATACAATTAAATACTGCTTATAATGGAACACAAAATGGAATACAACTTTATTTAACCTAAAATTAAACAAAATTTTCAGTAACACAACTTGGAACACAACTAAACACAATATAATGAACCCCAAAATGGAACACAAAGTGAACCTCAACCAATTGAAACATTAACTTGAACTCACTTTTCATGAACCACAGCATAATGAAACACTAATTGGAACACAAACACAGCATAATAGAACACAAACTGGAACACACAAGGTGGCTGGAAGGAAGAATTGGGCTCCCTGGAAGATGTAGTATCCAGACCTTCCTGGCTAAAGATAATATTTATCCTAATGACTTGAATTCAGTCCGTCCACACTGACGGTACAAAAAAAATGTGGTTTTCTTCTTTATTTCCCTCTATGTAAACACCATATAAATCTTTCCGGTAGGGGATGATGCTCTGAGGAATGTCTTAGCCCTTTCCCTCTCTTATAGTAGCGATGGCAAATCCTCTACACGTGTAGTTAGAGGTCATTCCTCCTCTTAGGTTTGCTAACCCCCGTTGTTGAAGAGCATGTTAATCCTCTGATTTATAAATATTACCAACTCTTGTAGTGGGTAAGGCTTACAGACGGACGCCAGATTCCTCTGGGGCGATAAGGGATGATTTAATATACTTTCTCTATAGGAACTTGGGCTTTATTTACCCTGGGGTGATTATGCACCTTCCTCTCTCCACGGCCTGTTAAAAAGAGCCTTTGATTGTACAACATAAATCTTGTTATATAAACTCCAACTAGATGTATTCAAATGGAAAATTTTGACCGCAAGGTAGAGGATAAAGCAATGGTGGAAGATACCTAAGACTGCGGGTAAAAAAAGAGGGCAGAAAGGGAAATGATAAAGAGGAATGAAGGAGCGTGATAACAGCGGCCAAAGGGAATCAGCGATACGGAATGATTCGCTAGTGTAGCAATTGAGGCTTCCAGTCACATTGGTCGAACTGAGGGGACAGGAAGCCGTGACTTGTGGCACTGGGTAAAGAGTGATGTTCGTCATTATTCCAGCAGGTATATACGACTTTGTCTGGTTAGTGCTGGAGCCATAATGCTGGAAGGGTTGAGAGCTCTAGTCTCGGACGAAGGTTCGAATCCTCATCACGGCCCTTGTGGATTTGTTCATTTGATATATCACGCTATTGTGATTTCTGTGTATAACACTAGAGGCATATTGCTGGAAGAGTTGAGAGCACTTGAGGGCCTCAGAGTTCTGGACGGCCTTAGAGACCTGGAAACATAACCACGACATACAAAATACTTAGGATAATAGAGCAGACAAGGAGAGGCAATTATGCAGCAGCCACATATCAACACAGCCCACAGCCACTGGAGACATCTCAGAAGCGAGAGACCCATCACCTCTAGCTGGCTTAAGGTTACCTTGAGGGGATTTCGGGGCTCAGCGATCCCGCGGCCCGGTCGTCGACCAGGCCTCCTCGTTGCTGGACTGGTCAACGATGGAATGTATGGTTTATTGAACACACAGATCGCTGCCCGACCTTTTGAATACCACGCCTCTCTGGGGAGTGGAAAAAATATCATATACACAGTGAGTTGCTAACTGAATACATATAGTCTTTGCAGTGTTTTGACAGGGTGTGTTTTGACAGTGTGTGTTTTGACAGTGTGTGTTTTGACAGGGTGTGTTTTGACAGTGTGTGTTTTGACAGGGTGTGTTTTGACAGTGTGTGTTTTGACAGTGTGTGTTTTGACAGTGTGTGTTTTGACAGTGTGTGTTTTGACAGTGTGTGTTTTGACAGGGTGTGTTTTGACAGGGTGTGTTTTGACAGGGTGTGTTTTGACAGGGTGTGTTTTGACAGTGTGTGTTTTGACAGTGTGTGTTTTGACTGGGTGTGTTTTGACAGGGGTGTGTTTTGACAGGGTGTGTTTTGACAGGTGTGTGTTTTGACAGGGTGTGTCTTGACAGGTGTTTTAACGGGTGTGTTTTGACAGGTGTGTGTTTTGACAGGGTGTGTCTAGACAGGTGTTTTGACAGGGGTGTGTTTTGACAGGGTGTGTTTTGACAGGTGTGTGTTCTCGAGACCTCGCCCGTCGTCCACACACACACACTCACAAGTCATACATTATACATTCTATAAACAACTACTGTCCCAAAACTGTCTATCGACTTGTTGTGTATCATCATCCTGTCTAACCCCCCCCCCCCAGCAACACATCCATCACCCACCTTGCAAGTTGCACCGGGGGGGGGGGGAGAGATCACATTGCTCACCTTAGCAACGCATGAAGATGTAATACATTACCTCAGCTGGCTGGTACGGTCACAGCCACGCTGACAAGGCCACCCTAGGTGTGGTCTGGCGGCGTGCGCCCACCCACGTGTTGTGCACTCACACACGCACACGCACAGTGTGTGTGCGTGTGTGTGTGTGTCACACACACACAGTGTGAAAAAGCTGGAGATGCAGGCAGGAGTGAAAGGGAAGGTACTCCGGTGGATAGAGGAGTACCTAAGCAACAGGAGACAACGAGTCAGTGTGAGGGGTGAGGTCTCAGATTGGCGTCCCTGTATCACATCATCACATCGCATACTCAGATCCTGTATCACATCATCACATCGCATACTCAGATCCTGTATCACACCAGGGGTTTTGTCCACCCCCAGCCATCACACCTGGGGTTTTGTCCACCCCCAGCCATCACACTAGGGGTTTTGTCCACCCCCAGCCATCACACTAGGGGGTTTTGTCCACCCCCAGCCATCACACTAGGGGGTTTTGTCCACCCCCAGCCATCACACTAGGGGGTTTTGTCCACCCCCAGCCATCACACTAGGGGGTTTTGTCCACCCCCAGCCATCACACTAGGGGTTTTGTCCACCCCCAGCCATCACACCAGGGGTTTTGTCCACCCCCAGCCATCACACTAGGGGTTTTGTCCACCCCCAGCCATCACACTAGGGGTTTTGTCCACCCCCAGCCATCACACTAGGGGTTTTGTCCACCCCCAGCCATCACACTAGGGGTTTTGTCCACCCCCAGCCATCACACTAGGGGTTTTGTCCACCCCCAGCCATCACACTAGGGGTTTTGTCCACCCCCAGCCATCACACTAGGGGTTTTGTCCACCCCCAGCCATCACACTAGGGGTTTTGTCCACCCCCAGCCATCACACTAGGGGTTTTGTCCACCCCCAGCCATCACACTAGGGGTTTTGTCCACCCCCAGCCATCACACTAGGGGTTTTGTCCACCCCCAGCCATCACACTAGGGGTTTTGTCCACCCCCAGCCATCACACTAGGGGTTTTGTCCACCCCCAGCCATCACACTAGGGGTTTTGTCCACCCCCAGCCATCACACTAGGGGTTTTGTCCACCCCCAGCCATCACACTAGGGGTTTTGTCCACCCCTAGCCATCACACTAGGGGTTTTGTCCACCCCTAGCCATCACACTAGGGGTTTTGTCCACCCCTAGCCATCACACTAGGGGTTTTGTCCACCCCCAGCCATCACACTAGGGGTTTTGTCCACCCCTAGCCATCACACTAGGGGTTTTGTCCACCCCCAGCCATCACACTAGGGGTTTTGTCCACCCCTAGCCATCACACTAGGGGTTTTGTCCACCCCCAGCCTATCACCCCCAGCCATCACACTGGGGTTTTGTCCACCCCCAGCCATCACACTAGGGGTTTTGTCCACCCCCAGCCATCACCCCTGGGGTTTTGTCCACCCCCAGCCGTCACACCTGGGGTTTTGTCCACCCCCAGCCATCACACCAGGGGTTTTGTCCACCCCCAGCCATCACACCAGGGGTTTTGTCCACCCCCAGCCATCACACCTGGGGTTTTGTCCACCCCCAGCCATCACACCTGGGGTTTTGTCCACCCCCAGCCATCACACCTGGGGTTTTGTCCACCCCCAGCCATCACACCTGGGGTTTTGTCCCCCCCCAGCCATCACACCTGGGGTTTTGTCCACCCCCAGCCATCACACCTGGGGTTTTGTCCACCCCCAGCCATCACCCCTGGGGTTTTGTCCACCCCCCAGCCATCACACCTGGGGTTTTGTCCACCCCCCAGCCATCACCCCTGGGGTTTTGTCCACCCCCCAGCCATCACCCCTGGGGTTTTGTCCACCCCCAGCTCCGGTCGTGCTACGCATCACCTGTGAATTGCTTCATTAAGGCGGGTCGTAAATATGTTGACAGGTTAGACTTCAGTGACCACACTTGTGGGTTGGTGGCTGTGGCGTCCCTGGCTGTGGCGTCCCTGAGAAAGTGAAAGAGTAGAGTAAGAGACAGGTGAGAGGAACACCTGTGAAGGGAGGGGAACAGGTGCGCCAGGGTAAGGGGGGGAGGGGGGGAGCCCCACAAACAACAAACAACAGGTGAAATTGTCAACGGTCACTGTTTTAATCCTTCGCCACAACCACACACTGGTTAGTGTGTGTGTGTGTGTGTGTGTGTAATTACCTAAGTGTAGTTACAGGATGAGAGCTACGCTCGTGGTGTCCCGTCTTCCCAGCACTCTTTGTCATGTAACGCTTTGAAACTACTGACGGTCTTGGCCTCCACCACCTTCTCACTTAACTTGTTCCAACCGCCTACCACTCTGTTTGCGAAGTGTGTGTGTGTGTGTGTGTGTGTGTGTGTGTGTG